GTCATCCGCTGAAATTATTGATCCTTTTCATGACCTAATTTTGACAGATTGACGAATCTTGGAAAATTTCTGAGATATCGAAACAATGAATCGAATTCCTACTTCATGAGAAGTTGGGTCCAGTGAAACTGTTAACCAAAAAGTGGCAAAAATGTTTAAATGCTGACTAGAAACGATATTGAGTGGACAAATCCAAAACAGATTTTCAGCGATTTAATGTTATTATGGAGCGCGTTGGAACACAGTTACATCACTATGACCTGGAGAGAAACCGATGGGGGCATAAGGTGGCAATATTTGGGTTCTCCACTGCCGAAGAAATTCAAAACATAACATTCAATAGGAATAGTCATAGCCATTGTGTTTTGGAATAAGAAAGGTATTTTGATGACTATCTTCAGGGAAGTCAAGCACTTAGTACTTTAACTTGCTGTGCAGATTAAAAGAAGCATTGAAAGAAAAACGGTAAGGGAAGCTGTTATATTTTGGCTGGAAAATGCATTTGCTTACAGGATTGACAAGAAGATAGTTTGAAGAATTTGGTGTTTGAGCTTATCGACCATTTACCCTACTCACCAGGTTTTACTCCATCATACTATTTTGTGTTTACAACCTTTAAAAGGCGATTGAAAGGGAAGATATTTTCGAATGTTTTGGAGGTGATAGCAACAAAAGCAGCGGCAGCAGCAGAACAGTATTTTAATGATTAAACATCAGATTTTTCGAGGGTGGAAGACTTAAAGAAACTTGTAAGACATTTTACCTAGTGTGCCGAACTGTGATATGATTATGGAATGGAATTTACGTTTTATGGCTCTAAGCTATTCGTTTCCTGGTAAAGCTGAGAATTTTCCAGCATTCCAGATTATGATATTTCCATAACTTAAAAGGGGTTAGAAAGGGCTGCAATATTTGTAAGGTTTGACTGTGATAGCAATAACAGAGCAGATCTTTCAAGGTTGAAGGAACTTGAGAAACTATGTAACAAGTGAATTGAATTCCATGGTAAATATGACAAATAATTTGAACATTCAATTGGCTTTGCGTCATTCCTTTCTTGGTTGGACCGAGAACTTTTCAGCGCACATATATTACACTGGGCAAAAAAAAAAAAAAAAAAATAAAAAATAAAAAAGAAAAGTTTTTTAAGTTGTATATGTTTTTCCAAATGATTTAGGACAATTGTCCACCGCTGAATCCGAAAATGACATTTGTTTCTCTCGATCAGGTCATGGTTTTGTTGAGTTTTTAAAAATCCAATCTTCTGACTAAATCGATTACATTTTTCTGACATTACTGATTGAATTTTGTAAATATTTTTCATACGAGAAAAAAAAGTTTTCTAACACAATTTATTAATTAAATGCTACAAAAATCGATTACAATAAATTGAATAGTAAACATTAATAAATGTAAGTACATGTAAATTACATATTACGTCGTCATTGTTCAATATTCAGGGCTTGAAATTCCATTTATTCGAAGCCTTAGAATAATCAGCAGCAGGGGTGTCTCTCTTCAAAGTCCAGCAGTAATCAGCCATTATGACTGCATCCCAGCGTCCCTGATACCGGGTCTCCATCACTTTCATGTCCTAATGGAACGTTTCCCATTGTTTGTCGTTCATTGATCCCAGACTCTCAGGAAAACGATCTATATGTGACAATAAATAATGCATTTTGATGCTCATTTTGCTTCCGAGTTTTCTGAAAGCAGTCAGCATATTGATGACAAGTTATGCATAATTCCTGGCTTTGTTGTTGCCAAGAAAGGTCTTCATGACCAGAAAAAAGCCTTCCATGCTTCCAGTTCCACATCGTACATTGAGTTTTCAAACTCTGGATCTCTGATCTGACGGTTTTGAGGACCATCAAAGATGCCAGCTTTCAACTTCTCCATCGTCAATCACACAAATAAGTGAAGCACAAATAAGTGAAGCAGCCACCATCCTTGTCCAGAGCTTTGGTGAACTGCACTGATCAGTGCAGTGGTGGCAAAAGTATACTGTTTCTTTCCACCGGAGTCTTACTGACTATGTTCGTTATTCTGCAAGGCATCAGTTCCTCCCGAACAGGTCAGTTCTTTTTTGTATAATGCTGAGCAGTGTCCCTATTATCCCACATGCGCAGAAAGCATGGATACTTGGTGAACCCGGACTGTTGCCCCTAACAAAAAGTACACCATCTTCAGGTCAACACAAATAAACCGCTCATGCTGATCATAATGAATTCTCTCCAGCACATACTTCACTGCTTTATATTTCTCCTTCAGTGTCGTCGAGTGAGCGAGAGGTACAAAGGCAAATTGGTTGCCACTGAGCACTTTTCAGTGATCGATTGTTGCTGTCAAGGAACAGTCTCCAATCTTTGGGTTCATACTGTGGCACTCCAATTTTGTACAGAAGCTACGCAATATCTGTACAGTACACCAGATAAAAAAGGAGTACTGTTGATGTCTTTTGTAGTAGAAGTTGATGCAATCACTGTCAGACAGCAGTTTTTTTCCTTCAATCTGGGCGCCAAGAGTTCGACAGAGGATAGTGAACTATATCATTTAATTCCTTTTGGCGAAAAAGGATGTCGAGCATCATCGTCAAAAAACATCACTACTACTTCTACAATAACAGCAGCAGCACCACCACCACTAATAATAATAATAATAATAATACGTTGTATTCTATGGTTTTGTATTGTACAGTTTAATTGGTGTGTTTTGAGATATAAGCACTTTATTGTGTGTTATTTGTGTATAAATATTTTGGAGGCTGAAAATACATCTGATTGGTTAAAATTAATAAGCTTATAATTAACATAATAATTAGTTTTATTGTGTGAAATATGTTGCATATTTAGATATTTTAATGGATATGATAATGTAAACAAAATCGTAAAAAAGAAGCATGTGGCCATAGCTCAAAAAGTTGACCTCATTGAGTAAAACCAATGTGATTTTTGAATAAGCACATCAAAATTGTCTTAAATTAGCTAAAAAAATAGACAATAAATTTGGTGTCGACGAGTGTTATTAATGGCAAGATATTGTGTTAAGTGCAATGGAAGAGGTTATGTTGAAAAACCAAAAATTCTTGTATAAAATAAATGCTTTTTACGACATTAGGCTACGGATCCATATTCATATGTTTGCATACATCTTTTCCACAATTTTGAACCATAGGCTGAGGGGGTCGCTGTGCTGAGACCCTCCCATTGTTTTGTCTTGAATTAAAATGAAGACTAAATTTGTCTTCCTGACCTCAATCTATTACAATGCTATTACACTGTTTTATGAATTGATATGGATTTTCTTGGGACAGAAAGTGTCATGGTTATCCGTTTCCTTCTCAGGGACTGGAAGGGGTTATAAGAAGACAAACATTACTTAGAGTTATGAAGGATAGGAAATTGTGAAGAGCCATGATCACCCATGTCCTGGAGGGATATATCCCTTAAAAGAAATAATTGAGCTGAATCATTTTTCAAAATAAATCATAAAACTTCATTTCCTGTTTTCGCTTTTTATTTTTTTTTGAAAATTAGTTTCTTACGGGAACATTTTATATTACATGAAATAATGGTACCCTTTAGCACATGCACAAAAAACAGACCAACTGATTTGCAATGCAAGATAACATTTATTAGAGAAGTTAACAAAAGGGAAGTTTAAAACAAGAATTTCTTTTGTTAGACGTAAACTGTATATACAATGAAATGTTCATGAATATGTTATAGCGGGAACTCACTGTGTTTGTGTGTAGCGTTCACAGCTCTTTTAGCTTCGGCGTGGAAAAACCGGAAGAGAGAGAGTGAGAGTTACTTTAGGTTTCACGTGTTTTTGCTATACGAGAGCTGCTGCTGATAAGTTTTATTTTAGAACTGCTGCTGCTGTTATGTTTAAGATCGGCTACTGATATTAAGGGGCACTATACTTGTATGCGGAAAACGTTTATCGGTCCCATTCCAGAATTTTTTGTATATGCATGATGATTTTTGGTGTTGGAAAGGAAAAGTGTTTTTATAGGTGTTCAAGAATGATGTTTATGTTATCTTCTACTAAGGCCTTAGTGAAGAGATTTTCAACCTCGAGCGAATCTAGGAGACCGTTATTAGATTTTAAAGAGAGTAGAGGATGAAGAAATACCTGTGCAGAACTTATTTTTGATAACTAGAATATAAACCAATTATCTCAAATTCTTACTCTTACGGGGTATGAATTTGAGATGTGATGGGTCTTAAAAGGACGCCAAGTTGATAAATTTTAAAATTATCATTAAACCATCCAAGGTAGTAAACTCCGGTATTTTTTTTTCATATTTATAGAGTCAATTTTGCTGTTGTTGGCAGTGATAACGTTATTTACAAATTATTTTGTACTTTGGAAGATAGTGATTCAATATGATGCACAAAATCGAATTTGTTGGGCAAGCATCTACCACCCTATTCCGCAGATTAACTTGCGATCTGTTTAATCAAAGTACCATTAATGTTCATATGAATAAGAACAGATCATTAGGCACTGAGTATTTAACTTGCACATAGGAAATAATCGTAAATAATCGGTATCTACTTTATAACATTAACTGAAAAAGTTTGAAATTATAGAAAACTTAGGTATAAAATCAAAAGGAACAAAACATAATAAGGTCTCTTTTAGTTTAGAAATAACTATTTTAAATAGAAAATCTTGCCTGCTTGCCAGACCGTGTATGACATTATCATAAGGCACAAAAGTATTTTGAAAATGATCAGAAATAAGACTGAAGTTGCTTGATTACAAATACGTAATTGGTTTACATTCATTTGAAAGAGATTTAAACTCTCTTGTAATAAGCAAGAAAAGTTAACCCCAATTTTTTTTTAAAGATTACTTGTCTCTTATCTTTAAACAAATTTGTACGAATGAAAGAATACTGCTTAAATACACTGTATCTTTATATACATAAATGCTTCTCTTTTTCAGATGAATAAAAGATTTTGAAGGTTTTTCCCACTAAATTCTACATGATGTTTGAAACCAGCCAGGGAAACAACAATGGTATGAACATTTTAACATTTTGTTTCCTTGATATTTTTTCATTGAAATTTTACAATCTCTCATTTAATAGTAAATGTCAGTAGTGTTAAATATATATATATTCAAGTCGGCGTGAACGTGAAACTCGGGTTACGACTAGAGCCATCTTTTGATATGATTTAACGTTGGTAAGCGTTTAATTCTAGGTCAAAGCAATCTAGACTTCGGCCATTTTACTTTACTGAGTAGGAAAGTTTGCCTTTAGGCCTTTTTTCTCTTTCTTTTTTCACTATTGCCGGTTTTATTCGAGATTGCATCTGGATAGATTGTTAGGTTTTGGCAAGTTGTCCCTTGGATCCATCAACGGTTTTTTTAATATATATATATATATATATATATATATATATATATATATATATATATATATATATGGATGAAATCCGTCGCAAAAAACCTTTCCCAAATTTTCATAAATCTTTTCTTTCAAAAATGTCCTTGATATATAAACATTTATATAAAAATTTATATATCATTATCCTATCTATCTATATGAATTGGGACTAAATACGCATCAAATCTGGAACATAATCTGACAGAATGATCGGATAATGAACAAAGAGCAAATATTTATAAAAGTGAAGCACATGAGATTGATAAACGTTTCCTATTTTTTCTTTTTTTCTTATCATACTATATATATATATATATATATATATATATATATATATATATATAATATATGATTATTAGGTTTTTCAGTTGTTATGGAGAACTCAAAAGATTAACTGGTGCAACTTTAAATTTCAAGTTTCAAGTTAAGGTTACAAACACAATATGATTACTGGGTTTTGCGATTATTGGAGAAAGCTCCCGAAATTGGCAGTTGTAACTGTAAAATTTGGAAGTTAATGTGTATAAATGTTCATTTATAAAATAAGAAAATATATATTCCGTGATGAATTCTATAATTCTTCTCAAGAGTCGTCAAGATTAGTATTTAAACTTTTAATTTAATAACTATTGAAAAGTAACTCTTGTCTAATATTGAACACTTTATTAACAGAAATTCTATTTGAATTTGTTTTGAATTTGATATACATTAAATTATATAATTTTATGCCTATTAATAATTCTTAGTATTAATAGCTAGCATTATTATTTTATTTATTATAAATACACACACACACACACACACACACACACACACACACACACACACACACATATATATATATATATATATATATATATATATATATATATATATATAACAGGGCTTGTACCTACAGTAATAAAACATAGATTTGAACAAAATAAACGTCATTTTTTTTATACCTTTTTATCCTTTCGACCAACGTTTTTTTCAAAGATATTCGGTGGCGATATACAAACACAATCAAGACATTAATAATTTCCAAGAAATCACAGGGTGGTTTTTAACTGTGAAGAATTCTTAAATGTTTTGTTTTATTGTCTAATCCTGTGTAGACGTAGTTTGTTTCGTGTTTTAAGTGTATAGCAGTCACTTCTAAATTTGCATGTTATTCTTGCAGAAAGACAGTCAAATTTTGAGGACTCTAAGGTGGTATACAGAGCGAGCACTGTGTAGAATGTAAAAGAATGTGGCCTCATACTTGGCAGCGGCACAATCAGGATTATCCAACAAATGCTGCCCAATCGACGAGTCGTGAATTGCTTGTGTAGTTTTTTGTTTTTTAAGTACGGTCATGACTACTCGAACGCAAATACGCAGGAACATGTTGCGCAATCCGCCTTTCTAACCTCTGATTGGTTCGTTCTATGTAAACCGCTTCAAATTGGCATTTGAATTTGTATACTATTAAAATTCTTTGAAAATAGGACAAATGATTCTTAGTAAAGGAATCGAACGTAGATTTTGTTTGAAAAACAAAGCGCAACTTAACGGCATTGTAGCATAACGCAATACAAATTGAAATTCTGTCAGGCAACACCTGACACTTCCTACATAGCCAAGACAACTTTAAATAAATAGGGAACCAACTAGGTCCTAAAACCTCTGGTTCTGTAAAGCGCCTGATTTTACCATCTATGACACGTTTGCTAATATTGGTGGGATATCCATTATTTTCAAAATTTTGTTAGTTCGCCGCCTAAGAAACAAAGGGAACAAATCATCCAAACACGATCAACTAACGTGGAAATTAGACCAATTTTGGGGACTATGGGAACAAAAGAGTTCCAACATGTGTATAAACCTCTGAATGTGGGTTTGCGGTAAATGCAGGTATAAAAAACTCCATCTCTGCGTTAAACGGGAACATCAAGAAAGCGTAATTTTTCCATCGCACTCAACCTCTATAGTAAACTGAAGGGATGGATGGAGAGAATTAAGTTCCGCGAAAAAAAAATTATTGGTATCATTGGTGGGATCAAAAATTGAAAAGTTATCATGAATGTACCTCATGTAGACGTGGGATTTATGAACCGTGTCGGACAAAATTCGCTCGTGATAACCCACGAAAATATTGGCCAATATAGGGCCCAAATGATTACCCATAGCAACACCATCCGTTTGGGCATACATAACATCAACAGGAATCGAACCTGTATCCTATACGGAACCATCATATAGCCTGACGTGCCTTTAACCGTTTCGACCACAGATATGAATGTACGTGAGAGATTCATGGAAGATTAAAAGTTTAAAGACAGTAAAATCGACTTTGCTAACCGAACGCTACTCTGTGGTCAAAGCGGTTAAAGGCGGGTAGGCTAAATGACGGTTTCGTATAGGATACAGGTTCGATTTCTGTCGGAGGACGAATATTTTCTATGAAAATCTCTCGGACATTCAGGCCGGTAAATGTTGTTTAATACTATTTATTATAAAAAACAGAGCATTTACTTAAATATTTGTATCTATAAAAAGAATAAAAAAATGTCTCTCTATATATATATACTTATTTTAAATATGGTCCGCTTATTTTCCCGGACAAACTTCTTATTAAAGGAAGAAAGAAAGTCACGATATTGATTCATATTCATATATTCTGAGTACTTTCGACATTAGTAAAATGTCATCTTCACGGTCTTATTTTATTAGGGTCTTGTTTTATCTAAGACAGGTTTGTTGTGCTTAAGTGAAAATTAATTTTTTTTCTTTGTGAAGTGAAAAAGGCTAAACTTATGTATTGTACGATTTTTAAATGTTATGATGTAAGCATACTCGTACAGTAACGTCAAGGGAGGTAACTAAGTTTTTAAGATATCTATCTATTTTTTAAAAAACTGTTTAACGCTATTAGTTAAAACTAAGATATTTAAAACTATCTACTGTAAACATGTGTGCAGTATCCATAATTATTTTTTTTAAGGGTTGGTTTCAATTTTTTTCATATAGCTAGCGCTAAGAACTTTTAGTATATGTTTAGTATGTTCATGAAAAAGTATAGATGTATTTTCAACAAGTCTTTCTAAATCGCGAATGTGGACAGGTATGCTGTTGTAAATGTTTAGAAATGTTAGATGCATCATTCAAATGAAAAATTAACCACCAAGACAACGTAGTTGTAGTGTGACAGACATAATTATTATTTTTTTTTCTGTTGGAGATACAATCTTCCATGGGTCATATATATATATATATATATATATATATATATATATATATATATATATATATATATATATCTTATGAAAGGGATAAAGTCCGACAGTTATTTAATATATTTTCTGTTTATGTGTTATTTCTATAAATATATTTTTTAAGTAAACACCTTGTTTTGAATTAAACAGTACTAATTACATTTACTGGTCTGAATGTTCGAGAATTTGAGAATTTACATTTGTTGCTCACCATTTGGCGTAACTCAGGCACAACACATTCGTCGGACCGTGAATGAAGACTTCAGTTTTCGATCAACATCTCACCATTGCGTTGTGCATGAAACTGGGGTTGTGCTACTGGCTAGAAAAAATGTATATTTATTATTAATATAGATTATAGTTCTTTTATTATACATCGAACACTATTTTATTAGCACCAATAAGATTGATGATATTTATAATATATATGATATGATATGAAATGTTGGTTAAAAGGCTCTTTAAAGAATAAACAGGTATTGGGTTTACTCAGAGAATATAGTTTTTCATCACTCTTATTGCCAATATTGTTATCATATAACCGTCTTTTTATTCCTCAAATTTAATTAACAGACGTATTAAATACACACACACACACACACACGCACACACACAGACAGATAGATAGATAGATAGATAGATAGATAGATAGATAGATAGATAGATTAAACTGGATCAATTACACAGTTATTAGCCAAATTCTGATGTGAAGTTTTCATTGTATAATATTCAGTCTCGTTTATTAATATTTACTACTGAATTAATGCCTAATGTAATTTTTTTTTTACTTAAAACTTATTGGTGACAACGAAATTCTGAAATTAAGGTTTTTTTTTTCTTTTATTTCAGATGGATTGGTCCATCGCATACTGGATGGCCTGGGCAGCAACAAATACCTACCCATGGACTATGATCAAATGATGGAAAAAGTGTTGGAGAAGAAATTTGAGGCCAATAGCTCTGTCATGAAGATGTGCAAACTGAAGAGTCTTCGTAAGCGCCACCAGAAAAACACCAAGACCAAACAGCATCAGGTGGCATGGCAGAAAGAGATGTTGCGACTGAAAGATATTCGTCATATCGCTGAGACCGACATCGCTGAGTATATTGTCAAAAATGCCAAAAATGATCTCCCTGTCTATCTAGATTATGATTATTTGAAAGAGAAACAAATTGAAGAAATGTCTGTTTTTAAAGAAAAAACTTTGGATCCAATTTGGGATTTGTGGTGAGTATGTTGATGGGTAATGATTGTTAAGTTTTGATTATATAGGATTTAAAACTAATTTAATCTTCTTTAATAGAGTTTTAATATTTTTTAATCATTTAACCAAAAGCAAGACATTAAAGCCATTGATACGCAAGGGGTTCCTGAATATAAAGGAATATACGAAAAAAAAATATTAAGGAGAGAGAACAATAAAATAACAAGAATTAAGGAGACAGAAAAAATATGATTGATATTGTGTTTAAATTTCTTAAGATCAATGTTTACTAGAAAGCAAGACGCCTGAGGCAAGAAATGTGAGAGAAGAAACTGTTAGCATGGAACTTACATCTAGCCATTTCCGTTATAAAATGATGAGACTTAGCTGGTAATCGGGTACTGCACTCAAATTTGTGGTACCAAAAAGGAAAGCTCATCAGAAAAATCACCAATAAAATTGTTGTACAGTGTTCTTCTGCGACACATGATCAGTAAACTTCCTATCGTCTGACTCTACTCAACACCCTATTTATCCTATAACCAACATGTGCAAATAGGTAAAATCCTATTTGTCAATATCATTACACCCACTGAACCGAAGAGGTTTAATGCCTTTCGTTGTTTCTTAACTTCTTCTGCAACCTCTTTCCACTTCTCCCTCCTTGATGTTAATGTCGTGTTCTTTTTAATGGAGATCTTGGTCTCATCTCATCTTTTTCCATGTCTGAATCACTCCCGCTATCATCCGTTAGGATCATTTTCTATTACATTATCCTGATCTGAAGAATTCAACTTTTCTTCTTTGTCAAGATCTTCTGTCATCACAACATCTTCTTCTTCAATTGTAGGTCTTAATTGGTCAGAGTGAGCCATTAGGCTTTTTCCTTTCTTCGATATAACGTCCGTTATGCCCCCCTTTGCATGATGGAATTATCTCTCTCGGGACTTGCTACTTTGTCTTTTTTATACCACATCTTTTTAATTTAATATTGTTAATGATGATCTTGTTTGTCTTCCCATTAATACAAATGGGCTTTGTATGTGGAATCGTCCTATAACTAAGCATTAACTTTGGTAAGTAGCCGTCTATAGTGTTGTGGATTCCGTGAATGGAATCCTGCACAAATAAATAAACAACGCCAGTAATTGAGGTAGGAAATTAGGTGTATTAAACGTAAGAATACAGACTTGAAGTGAAGATTAGTAGTCCAGGAATGCGGGTTAGTAGAAATTATATGTACAAGTCTCTGTAAGTAAAGCCGTAATCATCTCTCTCTCTCTCTGGACTCTTGTATAACTCTCTGAGAACATCATGTGTCTGTCTCTGTATCTCTCAACCTGTCTCAACGTATCTCAACGTATCTCAAGGTATCTCCACGTATCTCACAGCAGGTATTCTCTCTGTCAGTATAAGTATACTTTGGACGAGTCCATCTTATGTAAAAAGGGGAGAGTCTACTTGGGTAAAATGCATTCAATCCTTTTTTGCTGTTTGACCCATTCTTTCTGCAATTCCATTAGATTGTGCGTGATACGGTGGCGTTTTGTAAAGAAAGCGGTTAATCCGCCTCAACCAATTCCATAGATGTTCATCACAAAATTCTGGTGCGTTGTCTGATACCAATGTTTCAGGAACCCTATTTGTAAGATCACTCCTAATATTTACAATAATTCTGGAGGTTTATGACTCGACTTTAATAAGAACTTCTTACCTAATAATATCTGTCGAGCTCTGCCTGTTCTCCAGACAATGGCCAATGTCTCTTTTTCAGTATTTGAATAATTTATTTCTGCTGCTATTAATCTTCTTGAAAGGTACATTATTGGATTTCCTTCTTGCGATAAAATTGCTGACACAGCTCGTTCACTAACATCCATAATTAATGTAACCTACTTTTGGGGATCAAAGATTTTTTTTTTCAATGGGTTTTTCTGCGAGTATCTTTTTTTAAATCCTCAAACGGTAAGTTTTGACTTTGAGTCCATTTGAACTCACTATTCTTTTTACGCAATTCATCAAATGGTTCTGTTAAATAAATGTATTTTAGTAGGCATCTGTTATGGTCCGGTTCCTTGTACCACGGTGATAGTCCAACGTAGAACCAATAAAGAAGAACTCGAACACGTATATGGAATAACACACATATATTACAAACAGGAATATATACAGAGAAGTAGAAAGTGTTAGTACGAACAATCAGGTTTAGTAGTACTTGTCTGAACGCGTCTCTGTTTCGGACTGCCTCTGACTCGACTGACTGACTCGCTTGCTCTGAATGACAGACTCCTGACGGACTCCTGACGGACCTCACTCCAGGCTTCAGACTGAACTCCCTGCTTCCTCTTGAGGCGCAGTATTTGTTACGTATGGAATAGTCCATTATGTTGTTATGGGTAAGGTCCCATAACAGTATCTATTATAAAGAAATTAACCAGTCCTAAAAAGGATTCTAATTTTTTTTTCATTAGTAGGTATAGATACCTCTGAAGTTTTCTTAATTAAATTTGGATCTGGTGCGATGCCATCTTTTGAAATCTGGTACTCTAAATATGATTGTGTATCTCAATCAAATTCATATTTGTCTTTATTTATTGTCATCCCAGTATTTTTTAACTTGTTTAAAACGTGTTCTGTTTTTTTTTTTTTTTTTTAATTCGTCTTTAGTCATGGCACTTAGGCAAATATCATTTTGATAAATTATCATACTAATTTCGTCATTTAACACGTTTTCCATTGTTCTCTGAAAAATGGCACTTGCTGTTTTCACTCTAAATGGCATTCTCGTCCATCTTAATAATCCTGTGGGGTGTTTATTGTAGTAATTTCCTTGAATTATTATTGTATTTGATTATAGACAAATTTTAAATCAGGTTTTACAAAAAGATTAATGCCCTATAATTTGTGGATAGCGGTTTCGATAATGGGAATAGGAAACAAATTTTAAAATCGCCACATATTCTTAAGTCTCCATCGGATTTTGCGAATCTACCATGGGAGAGGCCTATTTACTGCCACCTGGAGGAACATGCTCTAAATTTCTCTCCTCTACTATTTTCTTTAACTTAGCAACCACTAACGGTAGGAAGTGAATACGTAATTTACGGAATCAAAATAGGAAGGGGTACTATTTTCATTTAATTGTGTGTTCCTTTAATACCCCTTTAACACTCCCGTTTTTACTTTTTCTGATTTTACACTATTGATTAATATACACCTTTAGAACATCTATTCCTAGTAACCGATGATTTTCTATATATGCCACTATTGTAATGGGAATAGTTTCAAATCAGTCACAGGTTTCAAAAGTTTCATTGAAGTAGCCTAAAGTTTTGAGAAAAATCTATCGAATTGTCCATTTCAGATGGCATAGTCTCAATTTTGGTTTACCCATTTATTACTAAAAATTTCTTGGGGTTAAAGTGACTTCACTCCCCATATCCTTTTGCATTGGCAAAGTCATCTCATTTAATTTAATTTTATCAAAAATATTCTTTTCCTTAGGTCTTTGTATTGAAAAACGTCATTTCTCTTTTTTTCCACTTTTCTATACTATTTTCTTTTTAACTTGTATACAGACTGAAAATGATTTTTTTTCTTTCGCAGTTACAGCAAATTTTTCCAAGAGCGGAGCAGTTTTTTCTGTCAGTTTTTTTTTCCTCATAGTCACAGTATTGGCATTTTTCGCGTTCCTTTTTTATACTATACTTTTCACCATTGTCCTCAGTAGAATTATACTCTTTAATCAATTCCTGCTGTTTTATAACTTCCACACATGCAGTTAGAGAGAAATTATTCAATTGTAATTGTTCCATTATCTTATGTTTATGAGATATATCAGCCATAACTTCAATCAACTGTAATTGAATCAATTTCTCCTCCATAGTCAAATATTGAGTTCCAAGTTTATCATATTTGCAGAACCTGCTAGTTTCTCTTAATCTTTCGCTAAGACAATTTTTTTTAAGTCATAAAATTCTTTCTATCATTTCTGAAATTTCGCCGAAAGCCAAATTCTCCAATTGTTTGGGATAAGCCATAACATAAATTTTCATTATGGCTTTACAGCCTGCCGAAGCTAGGAAGAAGTCGGTTATTTCGTTTGTTTCTCCTCTTGCATGGTTGTCTTTCAATTTTTTAGCCTTAGCCTGTGCTGCAAACACGGGATCCAAGTCTCGACAAATTCTGCTTCATCCAAGCGACTTAAACATTTTATCAACGAAACCATAGTTCGATGACACGTGATCAGAAGTCAACTTTCTCTCGTCTGACTCTTTACTCTACACTTTATTTCTCCTGAAACTAACATATAGGTTAAATAGTTATAAATCCTAGTTGTCAATCTTATTACAAAAATATTTATAAAAATGGCACAGTGAAGCTGCATTACGGTGGTGTGAGAGCGGCAGAAGCCAAGATGCCAAGTCAGGACTGATAACATAGCAGATTCTTATTTGGATTTTACCAGTGTCTACTATTTGTATTGAGAGCAGCAGATATTGGATAAATGTGTAGCATATTGGTTATCAGTGCGGAAAATGAAATTGGAGTGTTGAGTTCAAATTCCAACCAAAGACCATTGCATTTACATCATACACACTTGGACGTTCGTATCTCTTTTATTCATGACTGACTAGGCCGAAGATTTTTCCTGCAGTATATGGCCGTTACTTTCTAGTCAAGATTACAGATCCAGTTTGCCTGCTATTCAACCCATAGCTGGTGGAGAAGAGAGGGTTTCATGCCATTCCCAAGGGGATTTTGCACATGTGAACGCAACGAACCTGACTGGAATTCGAACTCAGATCTCTGGCTTCTCGTTCTGAGCCGGTATCTATTACATCACAAAGTACATCCTTGGGCATAATATGATGAAATGTAATATAGTTACTTTTTTTGAAGATATGATCAATATCCAGTGGACAGAACAACATATAGTATAAATTCTATATTTTTCAGATTTTGAATAAGATTCTAAAAACGTTCATTCATGTATTTCAAGCAAATTTTGACGTTTCCTAAACTGTGGCACATTTCAGACAGAAAAGTCCACATATCATTCATAGTGACCTGCTATTTTTCTCTCTTCAACATTAATCAGATATGTTGACAGATAAAAGCTAAAGAATGGGTAATTAAGGTCACTCTTCATAGCAATTGTCATTCCAAAGAAATGTTAGTTTGCACCAATATGGTTTATTCAAAGGAATTATTGGTAATTATGCCCATCTTTTGATAACACTTCAGATGAGCATTTGTCTTTAACTAGTAATTGACTCTATCAATTGTTTTCTATGTCAGTCTGTTCAGCTCTCTCTCTCTCTCCCTCTCTCTCTCTCTCCTCCCTCTCTCTCTCTCTCTCTCTCTCTCTCTCTACTTAAGTCTGTTCATATTCTGTCTTTTGATATTAGTCTACTCTAGTTTTAAGTGGCATGTCATTCCAGGATTGAGGTGATCATTATCCATAGCTTTCTTTTCATTAATCTATCTATCTCTCCTCATTATGTATGTATCTCTCTGTCTATCTCAATCTATCTATCTATCTATCTAGCTAGCTAGCTAGCGCAGTCTGTTAATATTTATCTCAGTAGAGTGCAGTCTATTCATATTTTTCAGTCTGTTTATTTAACAGTTTTTTTATCTATCTATCTATCTATCTATCTATCTATCTATCTATCTATCTATCTATATATATATATATATATATATATATAGGATAAAGAATATGTAGAAAACAGATCTTAATCTAACATGATTCACTTTATTAAAGCTTTGTCAGAAATCAAGATAGAAATGATGAAAAAAAATGATAAATATGAAGAGACCCAGGTTAATGATATGTTTATGGTTGATTAAATCTTATTGGTCAGATATATTTCACATGTAATAAAGTAACAGATAATATTCAGATATATGTGAGAAACATTCTGGACAGAAAATTGTGTAAAAGTGGAATGCTACTGATGTTTTAGAAATTTGATCTGTAATTATCTATATCTATATACTTGATCTATATTTATCTTCTATTCATATATATATATATATATATATATATATATATATATATATATATATATATATATATATATATGTTTGTGTGTATTATTCTATTTATATTTATCTATCAATCTTATTCTTTTTATTCTATCTAATTCACTTTATATTTACAAGAGTCTTTTTCATATCTATATTATTCTATACGTATATATCTATTTATCTCACTCAGAATGCTGCTTTCTGTTCATATTATTTGTCAGTCTGTCCACTTAAAAGTTTGTTCTTATCTATCTTATTCTCATCCTATCTATCTATATCTACACACACACACACACACACACACACACACACACACACACACATATATATATATATATATATATATATATATATATATATAATATATATATATATATATATATACAGTAGCGGCCATAATATAAGGAACGGAAACAACAAAGACATAAATATGTGTATTACTTAAAAAGAAATTTTTACCGAATAAAGATTAGGGTGTAATGCACAAATATTATACAAAGTTATAAAAATTTACATAATAGTTATTTTTTAAATAAAGATTAAATGGAACAAAGGAAATAAGCTACTGGACAAAAGTTAAAGAACGATCTTGTTAATACTTGATTGTGAACAAAATATGAACAAAATTTAATATTAGGTAAACATCCCCTTATTTTCAATGACTTCTCTGCATCGTTGACCACATGATCTAATTAATTTCTTGCAAAAATCAGCAGTAATTCCCTCCCATTCGTCTTTCAATAACTCCCATAGGTGATCCTGGTTTTTCGGGTTTCTTTTCTGAGCCCTTTCTCCAATTATCTTCCAACCATTTTCTATTGGATTCAGGTCGGGGCTCTGGGCTGGCCACTTGACTAGGGCGATTCCTTATTCTTCAAATAAAGTCATAACCTTCTGAGCCTTGTGGCAAGGTGCATTGTCCTGCATGAAAATAGTAGATTCATAAAGATTATGGTGTAATCTTGGTACCACATGCTGCTGAAGAAGCTTTTTGTAAATTTCAGCATTAATATTGCCATGTATGCGGATGATAGGGCCAACTCTTGCAGATTTAATCATTCCCCACACCATCACACTGCCGCAGCCAAGCTTAACGGTTTTCTTGACACATTGAGAAGACAGTCTTTCACCTGTTCTACGGCATACGTAAGTTTTGCCCTCAGAACCAAATATAGTAAACTTGAACTCGTCACTGAAATGAACTGTATCCCATTGTGCGTCAATCCAAACAACATGTTCTCTCGCATACTCCAGGCGTACCCTTTGGTTTCGCTTTGAAATGAGAGGCTTCGAAGCTGGAATACGGGCATGCAATCCTGCATTTTTTAAACTGCGAGCAACCGTTTTCCTTGAGATCTTATTATCTGTCTCTTCATTAAATTTACGGGCAATTGATGTAGCAGTTTCAAAAGTTTTTTTTGTAGATATTCTAACAATTCTTCGGTCTTCTCTTTGCGATGTTTTTGGATGTCTGCCGGTTTTTGGTTTTGCATCTAACGTTTTATCAGTTTTATACCTGCAAATTACACGATGAACGACACTTTTAGACCTATGAACAATATCAGAAATTTCTGAAATTGACATTTTTTCCTTCTTTATAGTTAGCGATAATGAGTTTTTTTTTCTTCAAAAGAGAGCGTTTTGCGTGAAGAATTTGCCATATTGCTTAAAAATAAAATCCTAATGATAAATGAACTTTTACTTATTGTTGAAAAACTCCATCGAGTTTTTTAACAATGTAAATTATAAGTTTATGCAAATTATTAACCTCGTTCCTTAACTTTTGTCCAGTCGCTTATTTCCTTTGTTCCATTTAATCTTTATTTAAAAAAAAAAAAACATTATGTAAATTTTTGTAACTTTGTATAATATTTATGCATTCCACCCTAATCTTTATTCGGTAAAAATTTCATTGCTAATCATGCATTACTTTTTAAGTAATACACATATTTATGTCTTTGTTGTTTCCGTTCCTTATATTATGGCCGCTACTGTATATATTCTTTTTATATTTATCTTTCTATCTTTATCAGTTCTTATCTATCTATCTATCTATCTATCTATCTATCTATCTATCTATCTGTCTGTCTGTCTGTCTGTCAGTTCTTATCTATCTTATCTCATTTATGTCTGTCTACATATCTATACATGCATAGACATACTCTAATTGTAAGTGCCTGCTAACTTTGATCTGTCTCTTCTGATGTATATATGTATATGTTTCAGTACATTCTTATCTTACTCTGTAATTCCATTTCTGTTCACACTTGTCTATCTATTGACCTGTTGTCAATACACCTGTGTCATCCTTAAGTACACAAGCATTTCTGATCAGCATGGAAAGAATTAATCCAACTCTATGCATGTCTTTCATCTTTTCTCTTATCTGCTATCAAACATATTCTTCATGTCTTAAAGAAAAGAATTCTCTTCCATTGTCCAATTCTTCACAGACAGAATTGGAAATTACCTTTTCTTCTTCTTTCATAATATTATTTCCTTTTGCACCAAATTCTGGAAAACTATATAAACTTTTATGTTGCAATTGCCTCATCTTTGTGCATTAAAAGAAAATGAAAATAAAGGAGTAAAAAACAGACAGTGCACTATCCTTTGATGTAGTTGTTAACAAAATGATCTGACTTAAAATAGCTTTGAAGTTACTGGATATTAAAATCCACTTTTCTCATGTGCTGTTAGTATAGCGAAAGACACCTTCCAAAAGCTAAGTAAAGTATTTAGAAACAGAAAAATTTCATTAGAAACAAAGAAAATTATACTGAACTGTTATGTAATAAAGGTCCTCTTATATGGCAGTGAATGCTGGACAATCTCCTTAAAGATGAACAAACCTGAAGCAACAGAAATGTGGTTCTATAGAAGGATGCTGAGAATACTATGTACTGACCATGTGAGCAATGGTGAAGTTTTAGTAAAAAATAGAAACAAAATATTGATTGGAACCTGAAACAGAGATATCCAGAAAAGGCATGGCATGTGGAACTAGAACAATTTACCCCAGTGGACAAAATAAAGAGTTCAGTTTGAAATTTTAACATATATCACCTGAAGAAGGATGGAGCATAAAACATTTGAAACATTGTGAATATGACAATAAAGATGAGGACAACAGTTCAAACAATGTAAATAGGGTAGATAAAATATTGATTATTTCTAGATATTATTTATCTATCTATATCAATCCGTTTATATATATCTATCTATCTATTGATTGATTGAGTGATCTATCTAAATCTATTCATATCTATCTATCTTTATCAGTTTATTCATATCTATCTATCTATATATCTATCTCAATCAGTTCATATTTATTTATTCATTTTTGATCTAGGCCAGTTGTAATTAAATTTCAATGTTTAAGAAAATAAAAAGCATAGATAGAGAATCAAATGCTAAAAATAAAATTTATTGTAATAAAGAATGTTAGATTTTAAAAAAATCCTTTTAAAAAGGACTATCCATCTTGGTTACATTAATTCTATTTCAGTTCCTAAATGTATATCTATCACTGTTCATTGCCGCCTATGTACATATTTGTCTATCTTTATTCATTATCGATCTGTCTATCTACAGTCAATGACAAAATTATTTGTACACCCATCAATTTTGAATAATTTTTATTCATTTCTCAGAATCTGATGGCGTATGATGCTAGACTTTTTATATGTTAATAAGCATGAAAAAAGGAATATAAAACTCAATTTTCAGAACAATAGTTTAAATACAACAAATTTGACAGGCGAATTATACAAAATAATAAAAGACAGTAGAAAATATCATTTTAAATTGATTATTCATGTAAGTATAAGTAATTTACTTAAGTATTTTATTGTTGAAGCCTTCTAGACTTTATTCAGTAGAATATTTGTGATAATGCCAACAAAGAACATCACATGGTGCACAGAGTGTCACCATTCATATTCTTATGTTAACAACATGATGAGGAAGACAAAAGGAGCTTAACATTGACTTGAGACAGAGAATTATTAACTTTCATAAGTTGGGAAATACTTACAGTATTATTTCAAACTAGTTAGCTATCCCTAGATCTATGATACAGTCCATTATAAAGAATTTTAAACAGTTTGGTATGACAGAGAATTTGCTTGGGCATAGAAGAAAATCCAAATTGTCGCTGAGAACTGCACAAAAAACTGTGTCATGGAGGTAATATAAACCCAAGAGTTGTTTCAAAAGACATCGCCAAAAGTTTGGATACGATCAGTATCAGCATAAGTACACACACGATACAACATTGTTTAAATAGAAATGGGTTGTATGGAAACCAACCACGATGAACCCCTCTTCACAAACGATGTCACATTGTTGCTTGGTTTAATTTTGCCAAAATGTTCATGGACAAAGAAAATTACTTTTGGGAACAAATACTATGGAGTGATGAAACAAAAATTGAGCATAATGATATAAAGATTTGGTAAAAGAAAGATGAGGCTTTCCTCCCAAAGAACACAGTGGTAACATTAAAACATGGAGGCGGCTCGATGATGTTTTGGGATTGTTTTAGCTCAAGGGTGACTGGACAATTAATCGCAATGAGAAGAATAATGAAATCTGCAGACTATATCAAAATTCTGAATGTAAACCTACAACTATCAATGCAAAATAATCATCTAGGTTGGCGATTTACTAGAGAATGATCCCAAACATACGTCTAAATTAGTGACTACATGGCTTAAGAAAATGAAGATTACACTTCTGCCATGGCCTTCAATGAGTCCTGACTTGAGTCCTATTGAAAATCTATGGCAAGAATTGAAAGTTTGAATAAATTGTCGGTCACCAAAAAACCTTCAGGAATTAGAACATGTAACGATTGAAGAATGGAAAAAAATCCCAGAAAAAATATATATTATAAAGATTTCTCATATTTAACCTATTGTTCTGAAAATTGAGTTTTATATTTCCTTTTTTTTTGTATACTTATTAACATTAAAAGCCTATTATCATATGCCATTGGATGCTGAGAAATGGATAAAAATATTCAAAATTAATGGGTGTATGAATAATTTTGTCATTTTTATCTTATTCTGTTCATGTATATCTTATTTTCATTCTATCTATCTATCTATCTATCTATCTATCTATCTATCTATGTTCATGACGATCTATCTTTGTACATACCTATCAATCTGTAGTTTTTATCTATCTATCCATCTATCTCTAGATCTATGTTCCTGGCCATCTATCTTTGTACATATTTATCTCTATTCATTATCTATATGTCTAACTATCTATCTATTTATCTTATTCTGATCATATCTTATTTTGATTATATCTATCTATCTATCTATCTATCTATCTATCTATCTATCTATGTTCATAGCCTTCTATCTTTGTATATACCTGTATACTCTATTCATTATCTTTCTATCTATCTATCTTAGAACATTCCTATTTATCTCTATCTATCTATCTATCTATCTCTCTATCTGTCTCAGTCTGTTCCTGGCCATCCATCAATCCTTCCTTGTACCGTTACTTATTTAAACACGGCTGTATTTTGTAAAGACATTGAATTTGTTTTCAGTAGAAAGAATTAATTGATTTTTGTATAAATGTTTTCAGTATTTGATGATTTTCTTAGATGCTTTCGCTTCAATATCAGTGATTTTAATTCAAGAAATTTCACTGAATTTCTAATAATTTCTAAATGTTTAATTATTAATTTTTATTTAATTATAAATAATTATGTTCAGAAATGCTAATTAATGAGCCTTTCTTTACCCCTCAACAAAATTGATAGACTTGCTTAATATCTCTTATATCTGAGAAAATGTAAGTTTTCTAATCACAGTATTCATTTAATAAAAGTATTTCAATTAGTTAATTTTAAATATTACTTGAATATTTACATTATTGACACTTGGACTGTTGTCGTCATCTTTGTTGTTGCAATCACAATGTTTTGGCCATTGTACACTCTGGCCTTCTATGGCTATATATTAATGCAGGTATCCTTCAGGAAATTTCAAACTTGATTTATTTAATCTATGGAGGTTATTGTTTCACTGTCTATATCTAGGAATATCTAATCCTATTCTTATTTAGTACTATTCATTCTGTTTCAATTGATCACTAGACTATTAGAAAAATCTGTAGAACAATATTGAGTATAAAAAGGGGAGCCTTAAACAAAGAGAAAATATATTGTATATACTCGCGTATAATGCAACTTTTGAAGACCTAATTTTGAAGATAATTTTAAGGTAGTCACATCATACCCAAGATATAAATTAGAGTATGTACTACTGGCCTTGGCTATGCCATTGACCAAAATAATATATCCATCTTTACTCTAGACAAATAGTACAGCTGTATTTAAAATAAACATGATTGTTATAAAACTGATGTTTTACTTAACTGTATCCAATAATAATGCATGTAATATTCACATATTAATATCGTATTATAAAATGCAAACATAGCAAATATACATCTTTTCCATTTTCCATTTGTAAGATGTTTAGCTGTTTCTCATTCATTTGTTTATGGCTGTACGGATTTACACAACGAGTATAGCATTACTAACAATCCTTTTCATTTTCTTTTACTTTTTTAAGTTGTTTAACTAGATGACGGGATAAAGAGATAAAGGAAAAGAGGTTTTAGTCTAATGTAATTTGCTCTTTCAAAAAAAGAAACTCGCTTTATATATGAGACACATGGTAATATCATTTTTTTTATAAATGAAAATTTTGGGAATCAAATGATATACAAGATCGCGTGTTACACAAGTATATACTGTAGATTAAATAAAGGGTTCATTTAAAATTTCCTTGAAGGTTATCTTAATTTACAAACACCTGAAAAGACTGGATCACACAACGGCTGATACGTTTATGATAATAACAAGATGAGAACAATATCAATCTATTGAATGAAGAGTGCTTCAGAAGTGCAGAGCCAATGGTGGTGATTTTGTGATCATAGATTTTTGTAGCTGAAAACTTGCTCTATCCAGTGGTGCCATTGTGCTCTCTGTCTATGTTAGTTTTTTTAGTAATAAATAGGAGGCATTATTTTCAGAACCACCTTTTTTTTTAGCAAATCGCCCCAAGCAAGGCGGGAGTGCCACTAGCATGCAAGGGGTTACAGAGAGATGAGAGTAAGAGTAAAGAGGAGTGTTTGGGGAAAAGGATAAAGAGAAGAACATGGATCAAGGTCAAGGCATCAGAAGATGTCGATTGACATTACATTTGAATATTTGAAGATTATAGTTATCAGGGAAACAAGTGATAGGAAGGGAATTCCACTGACGGGAGGTGCGAGATAAGAAGCTGTTGAAGTAGAAGAGATGGCTGCATTTAGTTCTTTCGACAGTGAAATGGTGAGACCGAGATGCCAACCTAGTAGAACGCATCCCAACAAGTTTGAGGCAATAATTTAAAAAGAAAATGATAATTTATGCTGGTTAAAAAAATAATGATTTGTCCTGGTTATTCTGAAAAGTTCCTCCAGTTTTGTTGTATGTTTAATTTTAACTAAATTTGTTCAAAGAGATCTATTCTGTTTACATTAAAACAGTTATCATATCAACAGAATTGGGCAAATGATGTTTCTGATTAAAAGAAAAGTAATCAATAAAATGCATTCATCCAGAAAAAGTGAAATAATTTCTAAGGATAACACTTGACTTTGGTGGTCAAGCAAAAACTGCTACACCTTGGCTGTATCGTGGGACTCACCTGTGTGGACTTTTTTTAAGTTAACATTTCATCACTCCTGGAACATTTGTGCTGCAAACAATATCTGGCGGGATCATATGAGTCCAGGTAAAAATAAATGACACAAAATTTGTATTTTAAAGCAAATGACAATTTAATGCATGTATTAAAACAAAAAAAAAATATTAACATGTAAACAATTGTAAGTAAAGGAAAAGATAAAAAAAAAAGTTAGCTAATAAGAATGTGCTTCTTCGTGTGTGATAGACACGTGTATATCTGCATGTGTGTAGAAATTCAGTCGTCAAATTGACCAGGGGGAACTGAGTGGCAACATTCTTATCTATAAGCGACTATATCTTGAAGGAAGAAGAATAATAAATAAAGAAAGAGGTGTGGTCCTATGCTCGTCATGGCGCCAGGTGTGATCTTCTGTGCTCAAGTTGTGTTTGAAAGAGCCATAGAAGGGAGATGACACAATTCGGAACATCTTCTGGCGGTCAGTTCTTTTTTAACAGGGCCGGCGCGTCTTACTCCCGAAACCCCCGATCGCGGGGTGCATTTTTAGCACCGTTTTATGGCCATATGCCATTTAAAAAAAAAATTTTCAAATTGACGTTGAATTGACAGTCATCAACTAATAATATACATCGTGTATCTGCATGGCCGGTGAGGTGCGTTACTACACAGGGACCCTTGACGAGGATGGAGCTCCAAAAGGGCTACTTTCAGCAGCGTTTTTTTTTTTTTTTTTTTTACTACCTAAGTTATATTGTCAATCATCAACTATAATAATCGAGAGGGCCGATGCTTACTACACCGAACCTCTCAACCGCGTGAGGGCCCATTCCTAATGAGGAGCGGGGAGGAAGTGCTAATTTCATTAGCGCTTATTTTTTTAATTGTAAAAAAAAAGTTAAGAAAGTAAAAATCATTTTTTATTCCGATATCATCCACTAAGGAGGATTTCTGATTTTTTTTAAAAACTAATGGTAATACTAACCAGAAGCCCACGGATAGTAATTAAAATAAGATTTCTAGTCCCTATTTTTTGACTAGAAAGATAAAACCGAGAAAATAATCGCTTAAAAAATAAAAATATGTAAAGATTTCAACACATGAAAAATTTTCCTGAAAACTGAATAGTGTTTTTAAAACAAATTTTTAACACAATCCCGTTTGTGTTGTGTTGGAATCTTTATAAAACTTTTTCTTTCCACCAGAGATGCATCGGCGATTAATCTTTATGGAAATGTAAAAATTTGCGACTAAACTAATTTTCCGGGTAAAATTTAGTCATGAAAATATTGGTGGTTATTAAAAAAAGAATAACATTATCACAAATTTAAAAAAATAAAACACTTATTCATTATAAAAGTAAATACTTAATGGCTATGTACTGAAATGTTCATTTAAACCTGTTTTTTGGTAATTTAAAAATGTGCTGCCCCTCCCCAATTTTCCTTCGAGGGTTTGTGGCCCCATGTTGCGAATATTTGAAATCGACATGTAGTAGAAAGGGGAGCTCTGTATCAAAGATCGCCGGTCCTGCTTTTCAATAGGTGTTAATATCGCCAAGTGGGAGAAGAAAAAAAGACACGGTGAGAAGTTTTGTCGGTACCATTGACATGCTAATCAGCATGTGATTATCGCAATTTTAGAAGTTGGTTCAGAGTCTGGGATTTTAAAGTATCTGCCTTCCAGGATAAATAAAATGATGCCCTTCTGACTCTTTGTCTTAAGTCTCACAGGTCTCTTTTAACCCTTTTTTGAGCCCGGCGTTCCTGAACAATTTTAACCCTTTGGCTTGAGCTCCTGGGTCGAAATTCGCAAATAATTGGTATGTAAACATAAAAAATAGTCACTGACATTCCAGGTTGAGGCTCTGCACGCTTCATGGTAAAAACGATCATTTTTTATCCAAAACACAATGAAAAACGCGGACATGTTGGTATAACGTTCGATGACATCAGAATATTACAGCTTTTTCTGATTGGCACTTCAAAATAAGACAAATAATAGCAAAACACGATGCAAGTGTTTAACCACCGTTCAACCGGTGGCTAGGCATTAAGTCATTTTTTTACACCACCGTTCAACCGGTGGCTGGGTATTACGCCATTTTTCTCTACCATCGGTAAAGCGGTGGTCAGGGCTCAAAGGTTTAATGCCGTATTTCAAATTTGTGTCTTATGCCTCTTCAAGGACGAAGAATTCTGTTGAAGGCTTCTCTTATATTTGTTTCTAATATATTTAAGTGGTCAATGGGGCTTCTCTTATTTTCGGAAGCCTGTTTGGTATTCTTCTTCAGGTACCACACTAGCCTGGCATTGAAAATCTTTTCAAATGTTTTACAGATACTGATGCGAATTATTGGGGGCTAATTTGTTGGGTTGGTGCTGTTTTTTATATTGCAGGTTACGGTACAGTGATGACAGTAGCTAAAAAATCTAAATATTTTAGAGCTGTTTCTGGTAATTTTTGAAAGAATTGGTAATGTATTTAATCAGTGCCCACAGCTGTGTCATAGGGTACTAGTCTCGCGACCAAGTAAAAAAGGACCGCCCTAGTGGCGTGAAAATTTAGAATCTTTCTCTTTTTAACGATCTTTCATAATAATAGAGCGCGTGGATTTGTACAGATCTGGGAATGGCCACCAAAGATAAGTTCTACTCACATATCACTTTCTCATGCTGAATATGACCTTTTAATGATAGACTTATTACTTACAAAATAATTTATTCATTCACCAAGACAACACAAATATCAGAAA